TTTCAAGGAGTAATAGCTAAGTTTCATTGTAAATATAACTAAAAGAATTTGATTTGTTTCATTTTGGTCCGTCACACTAACAGTTACAATTATAAAAGACAAGTCCGTCCACTGTGACTATTTCAGTTTTCTCACTTGAGAATATCAACTGAGAAAACTGAAATAGTCACATTGGACGGACTTGTCTTTTATAATTATAACTAAAAGAATTATGCTCTGGAACTGCCTTCTGTAATTCAGGTACCAAGAACAAGTGTTTGGTTTGAATTATAGCTACACCATTCATTGAGCAGCTCAAAACCACAGTGATCAGAGCAGTGCAAAATGGTCTTAGTACTTTTTTTTCCTGTGGTGCTACAGCCCCAATTTGGGCCTAGGCCTACCTCCATGAAACTCTCCATTTCACTTCGGTTTACTAGATCTTACACGTACGGTAGGACTCCTTGGGCGAGTGATCAGCTCGTCGCAAGGCCTCTACCTGTAGACAGACACAGAAAAACGCACACAAACATCCATGCCCTGAGTAGGATTCGAATCCACGATCTCGGTTTCCAAGCGAGCGAAGACAGTGCATGCCTTAGACCGCTCGGCTACTGTGACCGGCGGTCTTAGTACTTACTCTTCACCAAAATGTCGGCAATAAAGTGTACTGCTTGTAAAAGATAAGTCCTTGCACTGACCTGCTTAGCTGTTGGAAGATGGTATCAGTAGATTTTCTTGAAATGCTTCAGGGTGTACTTTACCAACTTTGTTGTGGTATAAGTTTTCAAATTTTTTATGATTCCTATGGCCATTGGCTGAACAAGGGATGTGGTGTTGGGAGACAGAAATAGCAGTTGGATATTTTTCAAAGAATCTAAATGTTGATGTGCTGCGCAGTTGTCAATAACCAGTAAAATTTGCATCAATTTCCATCGTGATTCCATATCCCGACCCATTAACCATTTCTTTGAAATTTCAGATGTAAATCACAGATTTTTATTGACATAGTACAGAACTGGTAAACGGTCCATACTAATCCTCTTAAAGTACCGAGGCTTAGCCTTTTTCCCAGCAACCAGCAACTTCTGTTTATCAGTTCCTGATGTGTTTGAACAGCACAACACAGTTACATGATGCATTGATTTTTCTGAACCAGGTAGGTTTGTGTGTTTGTGGCATAGGGCATGATACAATAAAATAAACCTGTTTCATTGGCATGTAGGTATCATCTTTGGAAAATTTCTGAAGCAAGTTTGGCAGCTATGTGGATTTCCATTGTTCACCATTTACAGCATCGGCACTGTCCTTGTTGTGTGCCTTCTTGAATTTTATCCAAAACCTGCATTTTCACCAAGGCAGCCAACCATCTGTCACTTTGAAGTCGTCATGACCCAACTGTTTAGCTAACTCTGTGGCTTGCTTTTCACAATGAACCATTGACATGGGCATCTCATCCAGCTATGACAGAGAACCACTGATTGAAGGCCTCTTTAACATCATCATGCTACCATTTTTTGGAAGGTCCTTGTTGTCTGTGGTGCAGTGTCCATTCATCTCATAGTGTCTCTTGCTGCTGTAGGTTTTGGCACTCCAGTTATCTTTGCCAGTGATGACTGTGTTGGCGGTCAGTTTTAATTTTTTTTCAAATAAGGCACATTTGGCAGTGAGTGTTACATCTCACCTAGGCATTTCCCAAGGGATCTAAAATTGTAAGCGAAAAAAAAAATTGCTGCACGTGCCACAATACACCACTGCAAGGCTGAGAGCATTTGTAGCTAGGTGTTCATTTATACTGGCTGAGTCTGTGACACACTGATGACTTAGTACTCACAAGTAGCAGCTGCAGGCCCAATTGAATGGCATAGTGTCCCAAATAAGGGAAGAAAATTCTAGTTACATTCTTGATTTATTTTGTTCTTCAGGATTTTCCCCAAATAAATGGCTGCATCAATTAACCAATGACCCTTTTATCCAGAATCATCTGTGTGTGTGTGATTTTTTTTTCTAATCTTTAGAATGCCTTTTGTTGCTGCAGTATCTTGAAACATTTCTAAACTAAGACCACTGTAGCAAAAGGAGATGCAGAAACAAATAACTACAGAATTTAAATCTGTAAAAGGGGCTGTATACTCTTCATTCTACCCTTACTGCTACCATGAATATTGTAGTTGTTGCACCATTATAGGGTTGATAAATGAGTGTGAATCATTGATGTAAAGATAAATTGGCTGGGAGGAATGAAAGTACTTTGAAGCCGGGCAACTTTGTCACTTTGCCATCATGATGCTGACATTGTCTTTCCTGGAATTTTACCCAGTTAATTAAGTTCACCCATTGTTAACAACATTCTATATGTTTTATAGCAGATAGTGTTAAGGTTTCTGGATCAACAGAACCAGAAGCAGCTTTTACTGAAGATATGGGAACAGATCTCCAGGTCCCAGAGGATCAAAGCCTTCTGGATACTTTGCATGTTGAAGCCACAAAGACAGAAGAGGAATTACTAGCTGATGCCTTATTATTACAACAGCACATTGGTGATGATGCCTCAGCTACAGAAACAGAGAGTGTTGATGTTGCTAAACCAGTGGTAAGTTGCTGTTAGTTTGAATTCATTTCACATGAATGTTGTGAGTGACAGTTGCAGCAGTGTATGTACGGTATAGCGGAAAAGCAATGTCCTACAAGTGTTTTGAAACCTGTAAGTCCTGTAGCATCTTGTATGTGATTTTGTTCCATATATGGTAGAACTTGTTTGTAATGGAATTTGAAGAGACTGAACATTATTTTATTTTTTACTTGTGTCTTTGTGACATGTTTGCTTACTTTTGGAGATTTAAGGTTTTCATAGCAGTGCATATTGAGATTATGGTCTTCTGTGATGTGATGCCATGTAGTTTTGGAGGACAGATCCTCCTTTACTGCACTATGCATCCCAGAAGACTCATGATACTTTCTTCTAGATAGTATTCACTAGAACATGAAATGTACAAAAAATTGTTTCTACCTATTATATCAAAAAGTCATAACATTCTGTAGCCACTGCTATGGTTCTTGTTTGATTTTATATTGGGATTGGGGATAGTTCAGTCAGCATAGCAACTAGGCTACATGCTGTACAACTGAGGAATCAGAGTTTGATTCCCTGCAGGAGCAAGAGATATTTTAGGCAAGTCATTTATATATAAGAGAAACATCAAAGGTCCTAATACAGACCCTTGTGGCACTCACTGTCTAACACTAAGCCAATCAGAGGATACTGTATTCACATCACTTTTATGTATTACTGTTCTAATATATCTGTTACTTAAATAAGATTCATAAAGTGCATGATCTTTCCCAGTAATACCATAAAATTTAAGTTTGGACAACAAGATGTCATGATCTGCACAGTCAACGGCTTTCTCCAGATCACAAAAAAGAGCTGCCACTAATTGTTTGTTGTTCATAGAATTTAGAATCTCTGTAGTCAGTTTGTAAATTACATAATCTGTTTTTAATCCTTTCCTAAATCTGTATTGCTCAGTACTTAGGATATTATACTTATTAAGATGTTCTAAAGTTCTTGTATATATTTTAGTTTCAAATATTTTTGAGAAAGATGTTAAAAGTGATATAGGTGTAAAATTAGATACATCCCATATATCACCATTCTTATACAAGGGTTTTATTGTTGCATATTTTAGTCTATCAGGAAAAACTACTCCCCTTAACATTTTATTACATATATAGTTTATAGGTGAAATTGTAAATGGCGAGCTTATTTTTGAAATGGTGATATCATATCCACATGAATTTTTTTAATTAAAGATATTTTATTTTATTCTTTATTTGTAGAGCATTTATAGTTTACATTAGGGTACAAATTTATAAAAGCTTGATCTATATAATACATATGATTTTCTTCGTTTTTTTAATCATTCATAGGTATGGAATTCTTGTTGGCTTGTCTTTTTATTTTATCGGCAATATTGGCAAAACGTTTAATAAATCTTTTTATTCGCTATCTTACCATCAATTTTTACTGTATTTAGTTCTATCCTTCTCATATTCCTACCCACTTCTTTCTTTATAATACCCCAAGTAATTTTTAATTTGTTGTGGGAGTGTAGGATACATTTATCATACTCCATTCTCTTTGCCTTTTTTATAACAGTACTCCGTATATTAGAATAGTTTCTGTATGTTATGGTAGGGATATTGAATTTGGTGGCAGCTTTGAGTAACTTGCCCATTTTTAATGGCAGCCAAACACAGATTTAACTTCTTAATAGTTACCACAAGTGTGGGAACCAATGTGTATTTTATATACTCTTGGCATTGTTTAGTATATGAAAACTAACACTAATAAAGACATTAGGAGCTAAAAACTGATGTTTAACTCATGTTACATATATAAGGGGATATTTTGCACCACTTTTGTTGTTGTGCAAGGTTTCCCCTATTTTTTTTTTTGAGCAAACTTACCCCAACAAAAGAGATTTAAATAATAATGCAGTTGAAAGTAAAAAAGTCTACTCAAATTACTTTTTTTTTAGGAGTTAATTGACAAACTGAATGTGCACGCTTTTGAAAAGTGCTTGAAACTAGGAGATATAGTCAAATTCTTACAGGTTTATGATTTTACAGAATTCAGATTCCAGTCCTGAAGAGCCAATGTCAGGTACAGATGTTGAAGAGTCTTCTTCTGAGGTGACCTCTGCCCCTCCAGTTACCACAGTTGCTACAAAGTTACCTGCATCAACGTCAGTGGCTGTAACTCGATCAACACGTAGACGTAGTTCAAATGTGCAGGTAATATTTTGATGCTAACTCTTTCATATCTGTTATGTAATATCAGTTCCCTGACAAATATAACAGTTTCTTCCAATTCCTTATGGCACACCACTTTAGAGCCATGAAATTCTTTTGTTATAAATAAGTACATTTAAGCTGTTGCATAACCTTCATTTTTAAAAACTTGCTTCTCTTGTACTGATATTATATTCCTCCTCTGTAATGTTATGTTGTTCATCCACCATCAGTTTAAGATTAAGTCATACCTGCATCTTGTATCTTGTAACTTGTATCTTTGTAGAGCCTACCTTTTCGTGTTTGCACGTAATTTACACAGTTTAACAGAATTATATGACTTAATCCCATATGCTTCTTCTAGCAGCGTCAGGAAATAGCATCTGGTAATTTCTGTTGCAGCGTGGGGTTGGTCATTTAGTGGAATTACATTTTGCTTATCACTCATTTCATCTTTGTTGTTACTCAGTAAATGCACTGTACAGTGTATACTGCCTTCACTGTGAACGGGAATGATATTTGCTATAAGAACATGAATTCTTTGTACTAGTAAGCCCGTACAAATGTATTTCAATTCAAGTCATTCACTCTGTTTATGACTGTAGACAAACCTCACATTTTTCATATGCTAAATTATAGGCATGTGCAAGAGCGACTTTTCCATTTGAGATGATAATTTGGAAAAGAAAAAAAGAGAATTGAGATGATTAGAATTTTCTGTAATACACCATCATTTTCATTGTAATAATGTGTAACATAGGCACTTATCCAGTGTGTTACTGTATTTATTCAAGTGGAAGGTAATTCCAAATGTAAGACTGCCCCACACTGTGACTTGTCTCCACAGTAAAATTTTATTAATTAATTTCATGCTCATACTACGAATGTGTGAAAGAAATCAAATCCTACAAAATGTGTAAGATGTATTTATTTAATTAGTTTCCTCCTTGTAGTAAATAGGCTTTAACCCTTCAGTGCCGGCGGGCATTTAAATTCCTACTCAACTTCTCAGCCGGAGGATATTTAAATATTTAAATCGGAAAGTGCAACATTTCACTTAAAGGGTAATAAATTGGGAAAAACTGAAGTTCTGTTTTTCTAATTTTCACACTACGTTCAGAAATGTATACAGAGTCAGTGTATTGATCCATACTGCTTTAAAATTATTTTTCGGCACAGTAAGCCTGTAAAATTATGAATGACAATATCACAGTACCTTAGAAGGTCAGCTGGCTGAGTTAGTCATGAAAACATTCCACGCAGGGTTCTACATCACACCAGTACACCTGAACAGTGTTTAATCGAGTGTGAAAGCCTCCAGAGCTGGTGTCCATCAGCAGCAATTTAGATTAAAGGGGTCATTGTTAAAGGACCCTTGTATTGTGACCATCTAGAATCAAGTGTGTTTTGCAACAGTTTACTCTCTTTGGAGCTCATTGAAGCCTAGTTTGCAAGTGTCACTTAGAAGTATGGTTGCAATTAGCACCTAAAAATTGATGTGAACTGAAGGGAATTTGGGAAGTCAGAATAAAAAGCTGGTTCTTCACACATCTGGTATTCCCTCATTTTCAGCATCAGATTTAAATTATGCATACGGTAGTGTAGTTGGTTGAGGCACTATGCTACAAGCCAGAAGGTCGTGGATTCCAGTCCCGATGAGGTCATTGGATTTCTTTCAGTTGACCTAATCCTTCCAGTCGCATTATGTCCCTGGGGTCGACTCAGCCTCTAACAGTAATGAGTACTAGGAATATTCTTGGGGGGTGAAGGGCAGCCAGCGCATAGGGCTGAGAACCTTACTGCCATCTATGAGCTGATTGTCTAGAAAATGTGGGAACCTCAACATCTCGCAACCCTATGGGCCTCCACGGCCTGTTACAGAGATACCTTTACTTTTTTTTACTTTTATATTTAATAGTGTTTCAGTGTTTCAGTATGACTGGTCTTGCGTATGGCCAAAGTGTATGTTGAGCAGTTCCAGTGTCTTGTAACATTTCTCTTGTTATGCATTTAGCGTGGATGATCTTTTGTTTTTCCCCCTGAAATCATCAGTGGATTCCTGGAAATATCCTTTTTTTTTTTAATACTATTCCATTTTCTACTGTGTTGCAATAAACTGGTGCGCTTGCTGTAAGGGTCATTTTACTTTATTTCTTTCTGTTTGCTTGAACTGGGTTCCTTTCCTTAACCTCCTCCTTGGATTTCATGAAACCTTTCTCATAGCTTGCCCTTATAACAAAGCCTATTCCTGGTACTATACATTTCAACCCTGAAGATAAAGGCAGCATGTTCCTTCAAAGTGTTTGTATCCACCTATGAAATTTCATGGTCACACAGCCCAGAAGTCCACACTGTTAGTAATTACTGCGAAAACTTCAAAACTTATATTTTATATTTGTTTGCAATATGATTGCAGGAGGTTCAGCCTAAAAAAGATGTGGCACGAACTGTGTCACAGAAACAGCAGCAGTCTCGTGTAAGGGAGAGAAGGAAATCTGATGAGAGCAAGGGAGTGCAAGTGAAAGGAAGAGCAAGGTAAACAGAATGAAACAGAAGTTAATTATATTATATTTTATCCTGTTACACTTTTCGCTTAGTGTCACCTAGTTTTTACAGTCTCTCATGCAGCACTGTCTTCTGTAAAATTTATTAAAAGTTATTCACTTTAAAAGTCCACCACTATATGTTTCATCATCAGGTGATTTTCTTTTGTGAGGAAACTGCTGTCATCTCTTGTTGCTCGTTTTGTTAAATATATAAGTCTTCTTGATGCTCCTATGTGTTTGTATGCATTCGAGAACAGGATATGCAGCACAGCACACAACAAGAGAAAACACAACCCACCAACTAGAATACATATGCACATTGAGAGGACTTAACATATTTCACAGCAGAAAACAGCAGTTTCCTTGCCCCTCCCCTAAAAGAAACATCTTATGATGACTGCATTGGTCGAAACATGAAGTGATGTACTTTTAAAGTGAATAACTTTTAATACATTTTATAGATCATAATGTTTCAAGGAGACTGTAAAAAAACTAATCAACACTAATAGAAGTTAATTTTGTTTTTCATGTGATGTAATATGTTATATACATTAAAATTGGAGTGTTAGTTTTTTCTATAGATTTTGATAGTGTACGATGTATATTGATCCTCTTTATGGACCAGTTGACAGCTGAAAAAATACATTATGGTCACTTCCAGAAGTTCTTATAAAACAGTAATCAGTAATGACATGTTTAAGCAGAGAGAATGAAAACCTTTATGCTGTTCCCTCTGTGGTCATGCAGTAAACTGTTGGCACACTATTGCAGGCAGCACATCTCAGTGGAACACTGTGAATATTGTTTATTGTACTTATGACTGTGCATGTATAGTTGATTGGAACCTTCTCCACAGGCAGTTTGCTTAACACCTTGAGAAAAGAGGAATCGGGCTTAGGATACTCTGTTCGGATCATTATCAATAATGTTAATTTTGTGTATTTTATTATATACCTAAGGTATATTCATTTGTTGCTAATAATTTACAAGGCTTTTGGTGTTTGGGGCTAAGCCACATCAAAGGTTTTCCAACATTTTGGCAAATCTTGCATTTGCTGTCTTCAGGGTTATTTGGCTTTGGGGGCTATTATAAGAGCTCTCTCATTAGGCGGTGTGTCAGAGGTGGAGCCATGATTCATTCATTTCCTTTATTTTCCATATATCCTTACAGGTAACAAACCTTTGAAAATAGATATATCAAAATACATATACAAAATTACATGAGTCACATAATCAAAATCACTTACATTAATCAATTAACATAAATAATAATACATATAAAGTAAAAAATTTAATAAGATTTTAATTCATAAACATAATTTAAAAACAACTTTTTGCTTAGTGGGGGGTGGAGTCCAACTGGGTTCACTTGGCACAGTGGCCACTGATTGGCCTATTGTAGCCTGCCCTGGGTGATTATGATGATGGAGAATTTGGTGGAATGAAGATTGGCAGGGAAAACCGAAGTACTCAGAGAAAACCTGCCACAGCACCATTTTGTCCACCACAAATCCCACTTGACCATACCCAGGATCAAACCCGGGCTGCCATGGTGGGAAGCCAATGACTAACTGCTTGAGCTGTGGCATGGCCCTAAAACAGATTACTATAAAACTTGAATTAATACATTTTTATTTAAATTACCTATATTAACTGAATTATATACCCAGTTAAGTGACTGGGGGAGCAGAGGATTAGAGAGCTCCAAACATGTAAACCTAAGGATTAGAATTGCTGGTAATTGATTTCAAGTGCAGAATTTTTATTTTAAACTTTTTTAGCTTGCAGTCACATAGAAGTAATAGCCCCATACATTTCTGCAGTAAAAGTAACTGGAACAGTGTTTTGAGAGTGTTCCCTATCAAAATTTGGTATATTATATTATTTGTCTCCGTCTTCAACCTTGTAATGCATGTAAATCATGTATATGAACTACTTTGGACAAATTCAGTTTCTTTCCTCTCAAAATAAGAGACCGATTAGAAGCCAGTGGGTGAAGAAATAAATACGTATACATTTTCTATATTTAATTTTGTTGGCAAGGGTACCAGAAGCCAAATGTGAATATCCGTAGGGTCCCTGAATTTGTCCTATTATGAACTTAATCACAAAAAAGAAATGCCATTTTTAGCCTGCTTTCATATTTTAGTAAATAACTGAAGGAGGCTAATGAGTTTACCTTGCTGTCTTCATGTGTGTCCTCTTCTCTCAAATTTTGTTTTGTTTTCTGTGCAGTCCATGTTGTATCAAGGAGGCGTATGAGATCACCTTGCTTTATGTATCTGTGTATGCCCCTTAATTTTGGGGTTTTCTGTGCGGTCCTTGTTATATCAAAGGAAAGTAGGTGATTAGTTCTTCCCAGAACTTCTTATTTGTTTTTCATATCTGTTTAGGCTGGTTTTCAAGAGGTCATTTAAAAGATTAAGGTGGCAAAGTAGATCACTCATTAAAGTGGCTGGCTCTATTGAAAATAGGGAGAATATATTGTCATGTGTTAGTGAGTATACATGGGTTTTAGATTAATAATTGGAGTTATTGAACATTTACAACTTGTAACTAGAGGTAGTCATAATGCTGTCACCAATCTGCACACTTTACAATTCACTATAGTACACGATAATTCTTCTTAGTTTGTCTTTGCTGACTGTTGCCAGGGTACAGCTCAATTTACAGGTTCAGCAGCTCTTTTCCTTGCTGGCTGGTGACTGTCTTGCTACTCACTCACATTCTCAACTAAGTTATCTAGTTCATGCTCGCTATATAGCCTTGGGTCAGACCCAATAGAAAACACCTCTTACAGTGGTTGGTCATTTGTGGCGTCATGTGGTTATTACCTTGGAAATGTGTTTATTTTGCCATTGCCGAGCAGTGGCTGGCTTCTTTTGTTAAACTGTACCGTCATCATGTCACAATATGTATATTTTAACTGCATTCAAACTTTTATAACTACTCGTATTATACAGGCATTAAAAACTACGATTAGGCACTAAAATTATAAAAATTTGATGAAAGAATGCATAATGTCATAGCAACAGAGAAGTGGGACTGCACATGTACAGTAGCAAAATACATGTACAATTGCCACTAGTCACTATCACTGGAACCCTAATCATAAACCATGGCCCTGATGTTTGTCTCATAGAATTAGAATTATGATGATATCCATGTCTCCTCTTCAGCATATATTGTTGTAAGATACTAGTTCTTCATAAGTTATTGTAGTTATTTTTAGTGTTCCTATTTAATACTCATAACTGTGAAGTGTACAAACATAAAACTCATGTTGTCCTACTTCTGAATTACTTAACTAAAATTGAAGAAAGCAGTCTTCTGGGATTTGGCACCGTGTATATGGCCAAATCCCAGAAGACTGCTTTCTTCATAGTCACCGCCGTGAAAGCCTCAAATCTTACTTAACTAAAATTGTTCAAAATTCTAGATATGAATAAACATAGTCATAATTTTAGTATTTTTTTTTGTTACATGTCAGAAATGTACAGATACTGAAGTACTTTATGGCCAGGACTCATATTGTTAAGGAGACTTGCTCTATTTCTCTTTTTCTTGGTCGGTTTTCTTCATATTGAATATGTCTGGCCCTGAATATCAGTAAAATGAAATATTATCTAGTTTTGGTCAAAGTGTAGGAGAAATTTATATTTTCAAACATTAAAGCTCACCAAGTTTCTTATGTGTTCAGTGCATCTCAGTATGGGTACCAGTAGTGGCATGACACACTTCAAAGTTATATTCACTTTCTTGCTGGGTGTTGGCATTCTTTTTGTTTGTAGCTCACTTCGCAACTGTAACAGTTTTTTCACACAATGTGTTTAAATTTTGCTCCTCTACTTGATAAACAGTACATTTTGCAAACCTTCAAAATAAAATAACTGGGAAGATACGGAGAATGAGTTGGCCACGAAATTTGGCCCCTTTTCTCTATGCAGCAGTCAGGAAACTCCCTGCTTAGAAAGGCAAGAACATTGTGAGGAAAGTAAGATGGTGCACCATCTGACTGGCAGAATGTTCCTGCAGGAGTACTTTGTCGCAAGACACTTCCTGTCTCTTCCAGAAGTTTATCTAATATCAGATCTGAAAATTTGTGCTCCTTGGTTCAGATATGCTTGATTGAACTTATGTCACACATGGGTGTACAGTTTACACTCTGCTATCCATAGAATGCAGTCTGCTTTCTACTGCATAACATCTTTTCAATTGGAGCAAATCAGGATGGGCTTAAGCTGCCGCATGCATGTACATAAAAGATGACTTGACAGAACAGGAAAATAACTTATCACACTACATGATAATGTTTGCAGCTTAACCTCTGGTTTAGTTTCACATATACATGTATAAATTTTGTGTCATTGATAACATTTAGGGCTGGATACCTTGTATTTTTATAAAACCATTCTGCAAATGTTTGTTAAAGCCATGGAGTTTTTCAACCCCCATACCTAAATCTTAAAAATCTCTGTTTTGTTTCACTGATATTGTACTTCAGGAGCAGAATATCAGAAACCAAAGATGCCGAGGATGATGAAGAGGATGACTCTGAGGCAGAAAGTTCTGATGAAAGTTGGAACTCTGAAGATGATCCTGATAGGCTTTGGTGCATCTGCAAGAAACCACATAATAATCGTTTTATGATATGTTGTGACTCTTGTGAGGACTGGTTCCATGGCAAGTGTGTTGGTGTCACCAAAAGCATGGGTATGTTGTCTGTTCACTTTAAGCATTTACATTAGTTTTGTGTTGTTTGTAAGGAGCATTCTGCATTACAGCACAACATTTTGATTGATCACATACCTCCAGAAAGAAGTGTAATGTCATATTAACTGCATCACTTTTGTGTTAGTGGAATGGGTAGTACTCTAGTGTTTTTCAACTTTTCAGAAGTTGGGGCATACCAAAATGTAGCTCAGTATCTTACAACATACTGTATCATGTAGTATTTTATAAGTAATGTATGTGTTTATAAAAACTTTGTGCGTATTACTTTCTGTATAGTGTTATGTTTTCATTTGTGTAATTTGTTGTATTCGTCGTAGTTCTGAGACAAATTTAATGAAGTCAGCAACATTTTAGGAAAAATTAATAAACAACAAGAGTGACAAATAGCATATTATTCAAAGTATGGAAAATATTGAGGCAGGAAACATTTACCAAAGAAACAGTAGCACAGGCCTACAAGGGGTGAGTGCAACAACCATTGTAAAATGTTTGAATGCATTTGAATAACGTGTTTTGACATATTGGTTGGGAGACACTGTAGCAGTTGTCCAGTAAGCCATTACTGGCTATAAGGAACTGAATGTGGTAAACTGGGCTGCATCATACAGTAAAATCAGGTTTATAGATTTAATTGATATCAGCCTATGTTAGAATGAAGTTTGTCTTAACAGTTCATTTTAATAATGTATGAATATCTTGATTCTGGTACAGTCTGCCTTGAATTCAGTGCCAGCTATACAAGTATCAGTTTTGAAGCAGCAAGTCATAAGTAGTGGGCTGGATTCATCCTGCCAGTATAGAGTTTAGTGATGTAATTTTGCGAACAAAGTGGTGAACCTGTGGAGTTTATAAAATCAATTTCTTGACCTTGGAAAACATGAATAATGTTCCCAACACTGTGTTGCCATAGAGTGTTAACCTTTAATTACATTTTCAGCAGAAGCATGTTCCAGTTGAAGTTCTATCTGTATGCTCCCCCCCCCCCCC